AGCAGGAGGAGAAGAAAGAAGAGGCTGAGTAATTTTTGTTGTTACTTTGTTCCTTTGTTTTTGGAGACAGGGTCTTGCTCTGTCACCAAGTCTGGAGTGCAGTGGCATGATCTCAGCTCACTGCAACCAAGGCTGAGATCTCATCTAGGTTCCTGTAAACCTGCAAGCCAATAAACATCTCTTCCACCCTCATGGCTTAACTCCAATCTAATATTTTCAGTGTTATATCAAGTTGTCACCCTAAACTGAACCAGTTTTTCCCCCCAAACTAGCATCCCCCCAAACTACACCTTTTTCTGTTAATGGCTCCAAGTTTTGTTATTGAGTCAAAATCTTGGTGTTATTCGTTCAACAAATATTTAAATATTATGCAGCACATACAACTGTGCAAGGGATGAGAACACAATGGTAAGGTTAATGGAATTTCTGCCTTCATAAAGGCTTATAGCAGGAAAGACAAACAAATGTGGACCCAAACTAGTATAGTGATATTAGAGAAGACTTCCTGGAGAAAGTGATGGTCGAGAGGGTTGGGTGGAGAGTTGCGCTCCATGGACAAAAGTGTAAGAGAAAGCATGACTTTAGACACACCCAAAACATTGCTGAAGCAGAGTTGTAGGAGAAATGGAGAGACATATGAGAATCTGGATAATTATCATGAAGGTCTTGTAAATTATGTTAAAGAATTTGGACTATCTGAAGAGCATGAAGAAGCCATGATTAGTTTTATGTTTTTAAAGAATCAATTTTTTTTTTTTTTTGAGGCGGAGTTGCTCTGTCACCCAGGCTGGAGTGCAGTGGTCGGATCTGGGCTCATTGCAACCTCTGCCTCTGGGGTGCAAGTGATTCTCCTGCCTTAGCCTGCCAAGTAGCTGGGATTACAGGCGTGCACCACCACGCCTGGCTGATTTTTGTACTTTTAGTGGAGACTCGGTTTCACATGTTGGCCAGACTGGTCTCAAACTTCTGGCCTCAAGTGATATACCTGCCTCAGCCTCCCAAAGTGCTGGGATTAGGGGTATGGCCACCGTGCCCAGCCGAAAAGAATCAATTTTTGCCATAGTTTGGAGAATTTCTCCTTTTCTCTCCATCCCTTGAATCCAATCAATTACCAAATGTTTTATTTGTTATTGTCTAATTTGTCCTTTCATCTGGATTCCCACTGCCACCCTGTCTGGTACCACCTTACTCCCAGCTCTTCTCATCTGCTGCTTAGATTAAGAGCTCTCTAACCAGTAACAGTCCCCCTGACTCTCTCCCTCCAAGGTACTCTGCATACAAAGACTAGACCAACGATGCAAAAGTTACACCAGGTTGACAATCAAGTCCAAGTCACCCATCCTGGCACTTCTTTTTATCAAGCTAGCTAGCGAACATTACCACTTAGAATCATTCTCCGAGGCCAGGCAGCTTCCTCAAAAATTCTCCCCAAATGCAGTTTACATTCTTCCCTCACTCCTCCAAACCTTGTAACATTATTCCCTTTTCCCCTGGCATAATGCAATCCAGAGGCATCCTCTCTGAGGGTCTACATCCCCTCAGTCCTCCAAGGAGCTGCTCCTCCTCCCATCCTTGGAGCTTTTCTCACCCAGAATAGGCTGTACCAACCATTTCTACATTGTATTAATTCGAATTATGTCACAGATCGAGGTCTTCACTTTGCCAGAAAAGACTCACATTCTTTTCTTATAGGCCTCGCAGGGCCTGGCCAAAGTACTTCCTAAGCTCACAACAAATACTGGTCAACTTTAATTGAACGAACTCGGGCGGGGTTTGAGGAGTCTGAGGGCGCGACGTTGGGGAGAAGGGGAAGAAAACACTCGAGGACGGGCCGGAAGCATGGAGTCCGACACAAAAGAGGTGCAGACAAAACGCCAAGAGGTTGGGGACAGGGAAAGGACGAGAGGGTGCACTGAGGGGCGACCGACAACCTGCGCGAGGCCACCAAGGAGAACCGCGGCCGTTGATGGGCGTGGTCGCGCCAGTCTCGCGGGAGCGGCCGTTGGGCGGGCCGTTGTCCCCGCGGGCGGGGCGAGTTGCTAAGGAAATGACTGCCCGCAGCGCCTGGCCCCGCCGCGCCGGCCGGGCGGGGTCTGGAGCGGCGCCGTTTCCGCTTCCGCTCTCTCTCTGCTCCCGTCCCGTTACCGCCTCCTGGCCGGCCTCGCGCCTTTCACCGGCACCTTGCGTCGGTCGCGCCGCCGGGCCTGCTCCTGCCGCGCGCGCGCGCCCCCGGGGCTTCGGCTCCGGCACGGGTCGCGCCCAGCTTTCCTCCCCCTGAGGCCGCCGGCCAGCCGCCGCCATGGGTGCCTACCTCTCGCAGCCCAACACGGTGAAGTGCTCTGGGGACGGGGTTGGCGCCCCGCGCCTGCCGCTGCCTTACGGCTTCTCCGCCATGCAAGGCTGGCGCGTCTCCATGGAGGTGAGGAGGCAGGGGCTCATAGGCTGGCCGCTGCAGGGCGGGAATCTGACGGGAGAAAGGGAGCGGGGGATGGGGTCCTCCCCTGGGAAGGGTCCCAATCGGGAGCCTGCGGCCTCAGCGGCCGTTTGCTGGGCGGCAGAGATAGCGGGGTCGGGGCCGAGAGGGAGCTGCCGATGCTTGGGCACCGTATGCGGTAGCCAGTTGCGGCGAGGGCTCGGCCATGTGTGGAGAGGCACCTTCCGCCCACTGACCGCCCTCTCCCTGAGCTTTGGCGCCATCCTCTCGTGCCAACCCAGTCCTCCAGGCTCATCAACGGTGTGAGGTTTAGTGTGGGAGTAAAGACGGAAAGAGGGACTATTTGTTCATTTGTTTTTCAAGGGAGAGGTGAATTAGATGTGAATAACTTTTTTAATTTTAATTTTTAAAATATGTGATGTGGGAAGCCTCTTTTGGCCAGGAGTTTGACAGTGAAAGAAAGCCCGGGCAGAGTATGTTTCACATTCTAAACACCTGGTTGCCTGGCCTTGGGTTCGTGCATGTTAATTTCAGAGGCTGGACCCAACCTCCAGGAGTTGTCATTCATTTGCACTCTTTGCAGGGCCTTTTACCAACTTTGGAAAACTTGCATTATGTCAGTCCCTAGAATTTCCTTTTTATTATTCTTGGTTTTCTTTCTCTCTTAGGATTTCTCTAGACCTTAACCAGTAATTCTCATTTGCCTGTAATTGCTGTACTATAGTTTCTTTGATTTTAAGTCATTTCATCCATATTTTTTTGTCCCAACCTACAAATAACTTTTCTAGAAGATTTTACTCTGGATAAAAGGGGAAAATGAAAAATCTGGAGTGGGGGGAAGTAGTAGTATTAGGGAAAAATTGATGTGAAACTACCAGAGAACAGGAAAAACTGCAGGGAGGAAAGGGAGGAAGATGGGTTAACTGTGTCTTTGTGAAGAGTGTTCTTAAGTGTAGGCAAAGGAGTCAGGGAAGCACTCTGTCTGGGATTAAGGGTTTATTCACCTACCAGGTGGGCTTCAGGTAACAGCCAAATACTGTCTCCTTTGGGAATTGTTTCAAATCCCTCGCTCATCCCTGTGGTTAGCTCTGGAACGACAGGATGAACTGAAATGTTTTGTTTTCTGGTTCACATTTTATGCTCATAACTGACCTTACTGATGGTTTTATAATTAGGTATAAAATTTCAAGATTGGAGTGGATCCTGTAGTTCATCTCATCTGCTTTGGCTCCCACATTTTTACATTTTTATTTATTTTTGAGACCGAGTCTCGCTCTGTTGCCCAGGCTGGAGTGCAGTGGCAAGATCTCAGCTCGCTGCAGCCTCCCGGGTTTAGGCGATTCTCCCGCCTCAGCCTCCTGAGTAGCTGGAATTACTGGTGTGCATCACCATGCCTGGCTAATTTTTGTATTTTTTTAGTAGAGGCAGAGTTTCACCATGTTGGTCAGGCTGGTCTTGAACTTCTGACCTCGTGATCCACCCGCTTCAGCCTCCCAAAGTGCCCGGATGCAGGTGTGAGCCACCGCACACAGCCATTGGCTCCCACATTTTATAGCTAAGAAATTGAGACCCAGAAATGTTAGGACACTGTCTTGGTGGAAAGTATCTGTAGGATCAAATCATTGAAGACACTAGACATCATTAATCATCTATGTCAAACTGAAGCATAGCATTCATATTGCACTACCGTACACAGTACAACTATTTGGTAAATGTAATTGTCTATTAGAAATAACAGGCCGGGTGAGGCTCACGCCTGTAATCCCAAGCACTTAGGGAGGCTGAGGCGGGTGGATCACTTGAACTCAGGAGTTGGAGACCAGCCCTGGCAACATGGCAAAATGCCGTCTCTACAAAAAATAGAAAAAAATTAGCTGGGCCTGGTGGCACCCACCTGTAGTCCCAGTTACTTGGGAGGCTGAGATAGGAGAATCACTTTGAGCCTGAGGGGCGGAGGCCACATTAAGCCAAGATCTATCTCCCCACTGCACTTCAGTCTGGGCAATGGAACGAGACACTGTCTCAAAAAGTAAATGAATGGGTTGAACGCAGTGGCTCATCCCTGTAATCCCAGCACTTTGGGAGGCCGAGGTGGGCAGATTGCCTGAGCTCAGGAGTTCTAGTCCAGCCTGGGCAACAAGACAGAATCCCGTCTCTACTAAAATTAGGGCCAGGCTCGGTGGCTCATGCCTGTAATCCCAGTACTTGGGAGGCTGAGGTCGGGAGTTCAAGACCACCTTGACCAACATGGAGAAACCTTGTCTCTACTAAAAATACAACATTAGCCTGGTGTAGTGGCGCATGTCTGTGATCCCAGCTACTTGGGAGGCTGAGGCAGGAGAATCGCTTGAACCCAGGAGGCAGAGGTTGTGGTGAGCCAAGATCAGATTATTGCACTCCAGTCTGGGCCACAAAAGCGAAACTCTGTCTCAAAAAAAAAAAAAAAAAAAAATTAGCCAGTGTGGCGGTGCGTGCCTATAATCTTAGCTACTTGGGAGGCTGAAGCAGGAGAATCCCTTGAACCCGAGAGGCGGAGGTTATAGTGAATCAAGATAGTACCACTGCACTCCAGCCTGGGTGACAGAGCAAGACTGTGTCTCAAATGAATAAATAAATAAACATGGGATATAGTTTCAGAAGGAAAGTCTTTATGTAAAGTAGTTAGGTAGTCAAGAAGTTCCATTTCTGTGGCAATTTTCTGTTAATGTTGTGAGATTTGAGGTGAATATCCCCTCTCACAGTACAATGTTTCTTCCAGGTTTCTCATTTGGTATTTTTCACTTTTCTGCTGTGGTTTTTCGTTTCTTTGGTACCCTTCTTTCTAGTTTTCTTTATGGATTGAGTTGCTTGGCTACTCTGTTTATGTTGGTTTGCCCAGTGATTCCATTCTATTTACTGCTTCTCTGTAGGGCATTTCCCTTTATTTTTGGTTTCTCCTCTGGTAATTAGAAAATGTTTTTTTGTCGGGGACGGTTTAGTGTGTAGAGATCTTACTAGACTATTCCTTACATCCAGATCTTCCTCCTGAGAGATAGCTGCTTAGGGTATTAAAATCTTCCTAATGTGCTGTTTCCGAAGTTGCCCTTGTTTGAATAGTTAAATATGACTAATCAAATCCTTTGGAAGAGTATTTTTTGGGATCCTATTCTGCTTCATTGATACTTTTCCTTTTGGCTCTCCTTCTCCTTGAAGTGTAGCATAGTTTCTTTGCTATTGCAAGAAAATAGCTATGAGTTCTCGCCTCTTTGCCGAATCTTATCTTTCCAGAGAATATAAAGTACTCCCATTCCTCTGAAGCTTTAGGACTTAATCCAATAATTAATAAAGTTTATTTACTCTTATTTGCTTGGTCCTAATGATTCATTTGAGGTAAAATTACCATACTACTACATCTTAAAAAGGTTGCTGAAGGGCCAGGCGTGGTGGCTCACGCCTGTAATCCCAGCACTTTGGGAGGCCGAGGCGGGTGGATCACAAGGTCAAGAGATCGAGACCATCCTGGTCAACACGGTGAAACCCCATCTCTACTAAAAATACAAAAAATCAGCTGGGCACGGTGGCACGTGCCTGTAGTCCCAGCTACTCAGGAGGCTGAGGCAGGAGAATTGCCTGAAACCAGGAGGCGGAGGTTGCGGTGAGCCGAGATCGCGCCATTGCACTCCAGCCTGGGTAACAAGAGCGAAACTCCGTCTCAAAAAAAAAAGGTTGCTGAAATCCCTACTGATGCATAGATTCAGCCATACAGAGGACTGTTGGACCACTTCTCTTGAGACAAAGATGGCAGCCATCAATAGCTGGCATTTTGACTTCCTGACTGTCTCCAGCTTCTCTTGCTATGTGACCAGGATGTTTTGAGAAGAAGTAATCAAAATATCACAGTTAGGCCAGGCAAGATGGCTCATGCCTATAATCCTAGCACTTTGGGAGGCCGAGGGGGGTGGATCACTTGAGGTCAGGAGTTTGAAACCAGCCTAACCAACATGGTGAAACCCCGTCTCTACTAAAAATAACAAAAATTAGCCAGGTGTGGTGGCACACGCCTGTAATCTCAGCTACTCGGGAGGCTGAGGAGGCTGGAGACTTGCTGGAACAGGAAGGCCAGTGAGCCGAGATCCTGCCACTGCACTCTAGCCTGGGTGTCAGAGTGAGACTCTGTCTCAAAAAAAAAAAAAAAAAAAAAAAAAAAACAGAAAAAAACCCACCACAGTTGATGTTCTCTTTCCTCCTTCTTTCTCCATGAAAAAAAGTGGCTGTGGTATGTGCTTTGGGATTAAGTGGTAGGTTGTGGACGGGTGCCTGAGAAATAAATAAGGTAAGGCTCTTGAGTTTTTGGTGGCTAAATGAGAAGTCAAATCTGAAAATAGATTCAGTTTATGTAGTCTTAAATGTACAAGAGTAACATTTAACATTTGGTTGTGAGGTTCTCTGGAATCTACAAACTGCTTTTTCTATGGAGAGTTAGGATTTTTTTGTTCTATAAATCATATTTTCCTTTTATTAAAGGCAGTGTCAATAGCTACAGTATATATATATATATGTATATATATATTTTTTTAATTTGAGACGGAATCTCACTCTCTTGCCCAGGCTGGAGTACAGTGGCACCATGTCGGCTAACTGCAACCTCTGCCTCCCAGGTTCAAGTAATTCTCCTACCTCGCCCTCCCGAGTAGCTGGGATTATAGGCATGCACCACCATACCCGGCTAATTTTTGTATTACTAGTAGAGACGGGGTTTCACCATGTTGTCCAGACTGATCTCAAACTCCTGACCTCAGGGGATTCGCCCACTTTGGCCTCCCAAAGTGCTGAGATTACAGGCATGAGACACTGTGTCCAGCCTTTTTATTTTTAAAATTACTTATTTATTTATTTTGAGAACAGAGCCTCTTGCCCATGGTTGAGTGGTAAGGAGTACAGGGCTTCTCATGCCAGTTACTTCACATCCTCACTACACTATCTACCTTTACAGTGGCTCGATAATAGCTCGCCACAAAGCTCACTCAGCCCCCTGGGCTCAAGGGGGCTTCCAGCCTCAGCCTACTATAGGCATGTGCCACCATGACTGGCCAATTTTTTTTTTTAAGGTTTTTGTAGAGGTGGGGCCTTGCAATGTTGCCCAGGCTGATTACTTTTTTCCTTTTCTTTTTTTTTTTTTTTTTCTTTTTCTTTTTTTTTTTTTTTTGAGTTTTGCTCTTGTTGCCCAAGCTGGAGTGCAAATGATGCGATCTCAGTTCACTGCAGCCTCTGCCTCCTGGGTTCAAGTGATTCCCCTGCCTCAGCCTTTCATGTAGCCGGGATTATCGGCTTGAGCCACTGGGCCTGGCTGATGACTTTTATTTATGTTCATTTATTTAATTTTTTTAGGGTCTGGGTCTCCCTCTGTTTCTCAGACCTGGAGTACAGTGGCACAATCATAACTCACTTGCTGTCTCAACTTCCTGGGTTCAGTTCAAGCAATCCTGCCTCAGCCTCCTGAGTGACTAGGACTACAGGCACATGCCACCATGCCCAGCTTATTTTTTATTTTAGTAGCGATAGGGTCTCGCTGTGTTGCTCAGTCTGGTCTTGAACTAATGAGCTTAAGTGATTCTCTTGCCTTGGCCTCCCAAAGTGCTTACAGGTGTGAGCCACCGTTCCTGGCCAGAAATTATTTTATATTTTATACCATTCCTTTATAAGTTCTCAAGCAACTGAAAAATACAATCAGAACTTATTCCTCAAGATTTTTTTTTTTTTTTTTTTTGAGACAGAATCTTGTTCAAGTGCCAGGCTGGAGTGCAGTGGCACAATCTCGGCTCACTGCAACCTCCGCCTCCTGGGTTCAAGCAATTCTCTTGCCTCAGCCTACCGAGTAGCTGGGACTACAGGCATGCGCCACCACACCCAGCTAATTTTTGTATTTTTTAGTAGAGGTGAGGTTTCACCATGTTGGCCAGGATGGTGTCGATCTCTTGACCTCGTGATCCGCCTGCCTCCGCCTCCCAAAGTGCTGGGATTACAGCTGTGAGCCACTCTTCCTCTAGATTTCAAGGATATTTTACACAAAGTTCTGTTGTCTGATTCCTTAGCAGTTGTTACTACTGTTTCCCTACCTCTAATCTTCTATTGGGTTATCAGTCTTGGAGTTGAACTTTGAAAGCTAAGGGCTTGAATTTGAGCATAGAAATTTAGACAGGTCTGATCGGTAGTTCTTGACATTGTACTATCTGGAAACACAAATCTTTAGAACTGAACTTAAAGATGTTTAATGACATCTTGTAAACAGAGTATGATTTCAATGTAGTTGTTTTTTGTTTCTTTATAGAGCTAGTTCAGAGATGAAGTATATCAGCTTTTTTTCCTTTTTGACCCAAATGCCAGCAGAAAAACAATACCTTTTAATCATATTTAGTATTTGAAAAAATATATATACAGGTTCCTTTTTATTTTATTTATTTTATTTTATTTTATTTATTTATTTTTTTTTGAGACGGAGTTTCACTCATGTTACCCAGGCTGGAGTGCAATGGCACGATCTCGGCTCACCGCAACCTCCGCCTCCTGGGTTCAGGCAATTCTCCTGCCTCAGCCTCCTGAGTAGCTGGGATTACAGGCACGCACCACCATGCCCAGCTAATTTTTTGTATTTTTAGTAGAGACGGGGTTTCACCATGTTGACCAGGTTGGCCTCGATCTCTTGACCTCGTGATCCACCCGCCTCGGCCTCCCAAAGTGCTGGGATTACAGGCGTGAGCCACCGCGTCCGGCCTATTTTATTTTTTTTTGAGACGGAGTTTCACTCTTGCTACCCAGGCTGGAGTGCAATGGCGTGATCTCGGGTCACCGCAACCTCCGCCTCCTGGGTTCAGGCAATTCTCCTGCCTCCGCCTCCTGAGTAGCTGGGATTACAGGCATGCGCCACCATGCCCAGCTAATGTTTTTTGTATTTTTAGTATAGGCGGGGTTTCACCATGTTGACCAGGATGGTCTCGATCTCTTGACCTCGTGATCCACCTGCCTCGGCCTCCCAAAGTGCTGGGATTACAGGCTTGAGCCACCGCGCCCAGCCTTATTTTATTTTCTATAGGTGTCTTTTTAATCAGCTTTACTGAGATATAGTTCATATACTGTCTGCTATATGAACTAATTTTAAGAATATAATTCAGTGGGTTTAGGGTATAATTCACTCATTTTGAAGGTATAATTCAGTGGTTTTTAGCATACTATTTTTTTTTCTTTTTTATTTTCTTTTTGTTTTTTGAGACAGGGTCTTGCTCTGTTACCCAGGCTGGAGTACAGTGATGCAATCTCAGCTCACTGCAACCTGTGCCTCCCAAGTTCAAGCGATTGTCCTCCCTCAGCCTCCTGAGTAGCTGGAACTGCAGGGACATGCCACCACACCCAGCTAATTTTTATATTTTTATTAGAGACAGGGTTTTACCATGTTGGCCACGCTGGTCTGGAACTCCTGTCCTCAAGTGATCTGCCTGCGGTCAGCCTCCCAAAGTGCTGGGATTACAGGCATGAGCCTCTTCGCCTGGCTGTTTTGTGGTATGGTCAAACAGAGTTGTACAGCTGTCACCACAATCAGCTTTAGAAACCCTGTACTCCTTACCAGTTACTCCCTATCTCCTTTCCACTAATCCTTGCACCCACGAATTTATATGACCTTTGTGAATTTGCCTATTCAGAACATTTTATAAATGGAATTCTAAATACATTATCTTTTAAATCTGGATGCTTTTACTAGGCATGTATTTTTGAAATTTACTTTGTAGCCTGTCGGCTCCTGTGTATTCCCTCTACCCTCAGCTTCGCCTGTAAGTTTTTTTTTTTTTTTTTAATCACACATACATTGTTGCAGTAGATTTAAGAATTAAGTATTTTGGCTGGGCATGGTGGCTCGTGCCTGTAATCCCAGCACTTTGGGAGGCCAAGGCTGGTGGCTCACAAGGTCAGGAGTTTGAGACCAGCCTGGTCAATATGGTGAAACCCCATCTCTACTAAAAATACAAAAAAATTAGCCAGGCGTAGTGGTGTGAACCTGTAGTCCCAGCCATTCTGGAGGCTGAGGCATAAGAATCGCCTGAACCCGGGAGGCAGAGGTTGCCTTGAGCCGAGATCATGCCACTGCACTCCAGCCTGGGCGACAGAGCGAGACTTCATCTCAAAAAAAAAAAAAAAAGAGTAAGTATTTTGGTGACCCAGGCTTCTTTTTTTTCCTTTTTTTATTTATTTGTTTCTGCACATGAATCCCAGTAAGACCCAGGCTTCTTTTGCTTCTTTCTAGATCCTTGCCTTGCAGGTTTTATTTTACAGAGCTAAAGACAATCAGAATTCTCTTTAAAACATCAGGCTTATATCCAGTTATCACTCACCATCTCTTTGTTTCCAGCAGTAGCTAGGCCTGGCCTAGAGGGACTTAATCTCCACTTTTGGTTTTTAGACTTTTCTTTGGCTTTTACCAACTGCTGTGCATCATTGACCTCATACTGCTGGACTCCTTTGGATGGATGCCAGCAAGATGGTTCAGGCTCCAGTGGGCACTGTTTTTCAGGTCTCTCCTCCTTTTCAGATAGACATAGAGCTCAGGCAGATCACCAGGCTTGTTGCCTATGTAACCAGGAAAGAGATGCTAGTTTTAGGCACTCTCATTTGCTACAGTTGTTTCTGTTGGAACCTTACTCACTTAGCTGATGGAAGGAAAGCAAAAGACCCCCAGCACTCTATCCCAAATTAATGACTTAACAATTCTTGAATTTTCTCTTAACTCCTAGTTTCCTCTTTTTCTTATCCCCAGGAGGTCAGTTTTAATTATTGTTATTTGTTTTCATAGAGACAGGGTCTCACTATGTTGCCCAGGCTGGTCTTGAACCCCTGGCCTGAAGGAATCTTTTCACCTCAGCCTCCCAAAGTGCTGGGATTGCAGGCATAAGCCACCACATCTGGCCTGGCCTGATATTTTTCAGTTGATACATCATAGTTGTGCCTAAGTGTGAATTTTTTTTTTTTGAATTTTTTTTGGAGACAGGGTCTCCCTCTTTCACCCAGGCTGGAGTGCAGCGGTGCAATCTCAGCTCATTGCAACCTCCACTCTCTGGGTTCAAGTGATTCTCCTGCCTCAGCCTCCCAAGTAGCTGGGATTACAGGCATTTACCATGACACCTGGTGCCC